TGTTTGCAACATTTCAACGCTTGTGACCGGTGTCTGACCACTGGTGGCCGACGAGTGAGTATTAGCCACAGTATGCGTTGTATTGAGACTTTAAGGCAAAAAGACACAAACAATTACCACAAGAACTCGTGACAAAAATCAATTGTGATCTTCACTTGTAATCAGATCTAGAAGTAGTCACATGTACTGGAAGCACTGGTGTAGCGGTGATTGAGCGGCGTTGTGGTCGCAGCTGATGGCTATCTTCAGGCGTCGTCGCTGTCCGCCTGCTATCGGATGAAGAGTTGCCAATCGTTTGCCCGGACTGTGCGCTGCCATCGATGGCGTGTCTGCGGCTTATATGCGAATCCAATCGGCTTTGAGTGGACATACTTTTGCCGCATCCGTCGTAATGGCATTTGAATGACTTTTGGTCGGCAAACGACTCGAAGATCGACTCGTAAGTCAACGATTGGCTGCAAAGACACAGACATTTGTCACTCAAAACAGATCCAGAGGTTTAGGGGAGAGGGAAGTGCATGGGTTAGGAGTAGGACTCAGTATCACATGTGCTATCATTGGGTAATAATTATAATCATTAAATCCAATCAATAATACCTGTCGTCGGCGGCGGTGACTCTCTTTGCGGTCTTTGATGTCTTTGCGGACACCAATCGGCCAGACATTGATGTTTGCGGTCAACCAAAGCACTATACGTTGATATAGAGATTCATTATGTGTTTTGATTGGTTAACAGGCATTAAGTAGTGTTTAATTTGATTAAATAACTCATAATTAAAAGTAAATTTGGTTTTAAATCACAATTGAAATCAGATCTGTATTTTGAAACATAAGTTTGTTTTTGATTTATAACTTATTTTTGGTGGCATTTTTTGAAATAATACATAAATAACGTCAAGTTATTTATTAAAAGTTTTCAGACCCCGGAGTAAACAGTCGTTCATTGAGTTAGTGTTAAACCAATGCTGACATACAGTCTGTTAATAAAACCCCCAAAACATCATTTGAATGCCAAATAGAACGTTATTTGTTTTAATTATAAAAGTGATGACAAAAATAGACATTTAGGCCTTTAATAGGTAGACATCATAGCCTTTAATACACTATAAGTCTATACTTATAAAAAGGTTTGAAAAGGTTATAAAATATTATGCAATATATTAATATCTGGCGCTACAATCAACTATCGTTTTTGTGTACAAATAAGTTAAGGTTTTGGTATTACAGTAATATTGTTTTGTAGTTTATTTAATGTTAGTGTTGAGTAATTGTAATAATTGTAATAATTATTGATCAATAATTATAGTTATTATTAATGATAGTTAAGTAAATGTATAATTAAAATGTAATCAAGACTTGCGCTAATGATTATTACAATAACACGTTTTTGGTTTCAAGAAATACAATGCTTTCTAAGCCTTTGTTTGAATGCAATATAAATGCGGCAAAAGTTTTGTTATATTTTTTGTGAAAGTTTTTAGTTTTATATAAAGTTTTAAAACTTTTTTAGTTTTTAATTTTTTGATTTATAAAATGTGTTCAGAATTAACGAGTGTTTCGTTGATTGAAATGAAGAGTAAATTAAATGCAATGAA